CATAGCAAAAAAATTTGCTAACCTTAAGCACTATTTCACGGCGTTGTGTGCTAACGGTCGCGCGTGCATGGAGATTTCTGTTGTTACGTCACTAGGTTAAGCATTTTTCCTCTGAAGTAAGTGTGCCTTTTGCTGTGCTTATGCTTACGGTCTCCATGAAATAGACAGAGGCTCTGTTAGCAGAAAATTGTGTGCTTAGCAGCGCCGTGAAATTGGGCCCAGATCTTTGCTCAACATATAAATTTGCTCAGATTTGTTATCTGCTGAGCAGACAGTTTTCCTTTTGATTTACATTGGTGTTGTCAGATCAGATAAGTCCAGGAAATCTCCATCAAGACAGAGCTCCACGTCCTGGTCACCACAGCCATGCCTACTCCAAGATCAACGACAACTTCCACAACGAGTGGTTTGAGGTTGCCGTCTGCAGCCCCTCTGCTCCACCCTCTGATATCCCACAATTCTTGCTACCTGTCCTGCCCCGCCCTGTGTCGCCAGCCACAACCATCATGACCAGCTTTGTGGAAACGATACACGGTACCAGCATGGACTCTGATGAGGAGGCTCAAGAGATCAAGTCTGAAGGTGAGCGCAATACAAATGTCCTGGGTTCGAATCCCGGTAGACACGTTGTGAATATATCACTTTCAGGGGGTAATGAATGTCTTAAACATCTCTGCTTCTCAATTAATATTCCTTAATTAGTGCTCTATAATGAAAAAGCGTACCGTCAAAGCAGAACAGACAAATGAAGTACCATTGGGGGGGGGGGGGGGGGGAGGTCAAACTGCAGTTGAACATAAGACGTTTAGAGGCCGTTTAGAGAGTTTAGTTTGGGCTTAGAACTGATCGTACTGGGCCACATATCGGCAGTTTCTTGTTGCTAGCGTCACCCATTACATTGATTTATTTTCATCCCTTAATGATACATACTCTTACCCTCAAATTGTATCCTCTAATAACAAACTCATGTATGAAACTCCTTTCACCACCCTTACCTATACCCTTTATTCATAATAACCTAAGACAGGTTACGCATTCCTATTGGTCGAGAGCCCGTCACGTGGCCGGTCTTAAATGGATGATAAAGACATGGCTAGCTGGTCTTAAACACTTTTCCAGTGTCACATGAAATTTGGACTCCCATAAAATCCGTTTGAACGTTCACATTCCTCACTTATGCATGCACAATAGTACCAGTGAATAAGTTTTTCATCATGAGTCCGAAATTCACACTACACCAGCCCAGCTACGTTTTGTGCGACATTGCGCGGTACGCGCAACACGCACGCCAATGTCTTTATAAGGTAACGAGTTGTGGAGGGCCATTCCATATTATAGTCAGAGGGGTGTTTCGTAAAACATGAAGTAAAATTCTTGAACAAAATGGTTGGCAACATCTAGTTTTTGACTTTTGTTTATTTTTAGACCGAAAAGATTTGGTTTTTTGACCGAAAAGGTATTTATGAATGGGAATAAATATGTGTTGGGTCGGTATTAAACACTCTGTTTAAGACCGGTGGAAGTCTGGATGGGTGATAATTACCCATCCAGACTCCCACCAGTCTTAAACAGAGTGTTATAATACCTCCGGAACACACATTTACTCCCTTAGTTATGCTACCTTTTAACTTCTTTACACCCTTCTTGTACCCCATCACTCCATGATGATTGAGTTACCCCCATACCCGATATAACTTTTGTATTACCTCCCCATCCTAACCCCCTTGTAACATCCATGTACCCACAAACCCTTTCCTTTTCTCCCATTTTTATACCTTCTTTGTACCCATCCAACCCATTATACCTTTCTTTACCCTTTAACAACGTACATCAGAATAAAACCCTGTGTACAAGGTAAGTAATGTTCCTGGGGTGTACATGCCTGTATCTATGCAGATATCACAAAAACATTGAATTCGGGCGATTGACAATGCAGTGCGCCACCAAGAGTTTGCCACGGAGAGTTCATTTTTCCCAGTGCATTGTGGGAGATGGTCAACAAATTCGCAGCACAGGACATTTGAAATTGTTAGTTTTTCCGGTCAGTGGTTTTGTAAGTGTATGATTCGAGCATCTGTTTGCCCATTTCTTTTCCTTTTATCAATATGGTGGTTTTTTTGTATGGCAGCAGAACGCTGTGCCCCAATCTATGACATTAGCTCAAGTTGTTTACTGACACTCATTCAAATGGGCCATGTTTTGTTGACCGTAAACTTGAAAAATGAACTCTCGGTGGCAAACTCTTGGTGGCGCACTGCATTGTGAATCGCCCGAATTAAAATGTGTTAGTTTGATCTCATTGTTGATGCAGTTGTCAAGCCAGCTTCTCTGAAGAGCCTACTGTATGACAGCTACACAGCAAAGACAGACCGGGTAGAATGGTGTCACATCAACTACAATGGCTGTTTCTGTGCGGATGAGGCCTGGGGCTTCCAAGTGGAGTGGCTGGTATCCACTCCAAGTCTCCTGGTGGAAGTGGTAGGTTGCTCTGAATTCCTATTTTAATGTTAAAGATATAGTCCATCATTTGTAATTTGTGCATTTTGTTCGTTTGTAGCAACAAAAGTGTTCAAAATCTAATGAAGGATACTGAACAACTAACCTGACAAAGTTTCAGCTCAGCTTCAGCTGTATATTCCGAGAAAAACAGCATTCTAGGATCTCAATTTCAAATCAAAAGTTGCTGAATCATGTTTTGAATGGTTTTGAATTGCAGCTATACGCGATGTCGCGCACTGATCCAACGAATTTAGCAACCGCGCGCGCCCTGTGCGTCGTGCCAATGCTTGCGCGCGCTGCGCCGAATAACAAAACGAACTACTAATTTAAATTTTCCTACCGTGCATCTTAAGACACACCGTTTGAAAGGCCTTCTTTCGTGGATTACTTCAAAATGATAGCTTGCCAGAAAGATTTATTTCACATGGAGTTTAGTCCACTTACTATCTTTCAACCAAGTATGTTTTCCAACAATAATAAGCCAGTTACTCTTTCGGATAGCTATAAATGATGGACTATAGCTTTAATATTGGGTTTGGCCCTCACACAACTTGATAAGCACTTGATATTCAATGCGGTTTTAGAACTTGACAGAGTTGTAATGACTTGAGTAGTGTCTCAATTTGAGTCTGGCTTGAGTCACAATTTTTTGCGACTCACTAGGCTCGATTCCCAATGGGTAACTGACTTATTTGACTCAATTCACTGCGAGAAAATGACTTGACTCAACTCAACTCAAGTCCCTCGTCAGAGGACTCGACTCCCAAAACTGTGCGAGAATATATTTACAGTGACTCACGGTAACGTATTTATGTTTCATACCTCACGTATCCGTCAAGTTTGTGGCTGCTTATTACGTAGAAATAAACTGGTGCCTTGTATTCCTTCTTCCATTCTGTAATTGGATGATGATCAAATATCAGTGACTCAAATTGACTCGAACATAAAGTCGACTCGATTTGTCAGGATTTCCACCTTAACTGATTGTGCTGAAATTGCATTCTTGACCTAAATACTCCATAATGTCTTATGGGCCTGATAAGCTGGAGAATATTATTACATCATGTCACCAGGCTCATAAGACATTTCATAATACATGTACTGTCTTATTTTCAAGCATTATGACAACCACAGTGTGGTTTCATTGCGTAGTCCACAAACAAAAGCCTATTAACCAGTTCGCACCCGGAGGCTGTGGTAACACACACTGGCTGTTTTTGTGCACAGGCACGGCTGATGGATCAAGATTGCCTCGACTTGCCTCCGGGTGATGCCTAAACACGCTAATCCCTCGTGCCTTTTGTACACACACACACAAAGTCTGTGGAGGCGCACCGTGTGCTGATTCTGTGGGCCGTTGTGCACGGCCTATTGTTGCACAATTTACACTCCAGTGCACACCCCGGAGTATTGACACATCATACGAGGTTTCGGCAAGAAATACCGTACAAATAGTGTCAAAATCACTCTTGCGATCAGTATGTATGGTGTTTGGCTGCATATCAGAAGTTGGCAGGGACATTTTGCCTTTTGAAAATTTCGAAAGTTTTGGCCAAAAAAAACCTGCGCGAAGTGGTTAAGATGAATGCACAGGTATAATCGCATTCAACGTGACCACTGACCACCGCACACTAGTTGCATTTGTACTGTGTATCAAGTTTGCTTCTAGAAAAATTGGGCACATGACATATGTAGTGCATCTGTGTTGCACTTGCTTTGTGGCATATCAGACACGGATGCATTACATTGTTTTATGTTAATTCGCGCTCTTGGCCTAAGCTTTTTTTGTTGCCTCTGTGTTCACCTCCGATTCAGCTGCAAGGTTGGGCTCGTAAAGCTGTCCAGTGTGGCTTCCATCTTGTTCCTGCTCCCATGGATGCCTTCAACCAATGTCCTCACTTCAACAACCCGCTCGCCTGCCCTCGCTTCATCCCTCTTGACATTCAGTGTCTTCAAGCAGGCACAGGTCAAAGGTTATTTGAGCACATTGACCCTAGCAGCCAAGAGAGGAGAGTTCACTTACTCCAGGAGACAATTCTGAAGAGGTACGTTTTGTTTTTATTTGGGTGGGGAAGCTGATCCCCATCACCCTTTTGTTTTTGTCTGTTCCTTGTTGGTTGTGTTTTTGTTATCTGGACAATAATTTTCCAAAACATTTCAAACTTGCTACATATGAACATCAAGCTCATACAGAAATACGTCAGAAATTGACGTCATCATGTTTCAGATTACAAATTGTTTAAGTTCAAAAAGTGCCTATTTTGTTTCAATTCTACAGGGCGAGTCAGAATGATCTGGACCCAAATTCAAAAAAATATAAATTGGTAGAAATTTAACTAGAAGAAAATTTGTTATCGCGCTTGCGCTCGTGGAACATGGAAAATGTAGTGCGTCTGTCCCACATACCACAAGGCTGCTCGTCGTATGTCGGACACAGACGCACTACATTTTCTATGTTGCACTTGCGCTTGCAGGATAACTTATAATTCTGTCAATTAAAGAATGACACTGCTTTTGGTCAAATGATAAAATGCTAATCTGATATATGAATCACAGATTTATCATTTTAACCATGTCCCCAATGACTTTTAAATGATATTCCCCATCAACCTGCATTCATAACTACCATGCCAAACTTTTAGATGTATTGTTGTTTTGTTTTTTCTGATAATGAAATTAAGGGTTCCCCAAAACGCACAAGCGCACAAGTTCCTAGGGAGGCCTAAAGAGAGTACACATTGAAGAAATGTTTTTATTTCAGAGATGGGAGTAGAAACCAGAATGTCATTCCAGGGAAAACCCACGGAATTATGCACAGACTGAAAACCCAATCCACATATGGGTGGGATTCGCACCTTGGTCACAGAGTTGGAAGGGATGGAATCATGCCAACTATATGACTAACGTTGCTTTTTACTTTTGATAATAAGAATAAGCATATGGTGACTGTTCTATGTTCCGACACCCCTATGTTCCGACACCCCTATGCTCCGACAATCAGCACATAAGATTGTGTTACTCAAGGTTAGGGTTGGGGTTGGGGTTAGGGTTAGGGTTAGGAATAGGAATATGTGCAGTTGGAACATAGGGGTGTCGGAACATAGGGGTGTCGGAACAAAGAGGTGTAACCTAAGCATATCACTCTTTTCTTTTTCATTTTGCGTACCAAAATATTACAATGAAATCTACCACTGCCAATTTTGAAAGACCATAATGATCTTTTTCCCCTGTGCAGGTTTGGTTTCATCAAGGCCAGCGAACCCTTCCCCCTCTCTCCCATCACATCCCAGCATTCCATTAAAGACCAAATTCAATATGTCCATATGACGGGCATGGCCCTCATCCTCATCGTACCACCCACCAATCAGGACACTACATTCTGGGATGACCTTTTGCCCATTTACGGTGCTTCGACGTCCGGAAACAGCCCAACGGACCAGGAGGCAAGGACATATGTCAAGACAGAGCCTGACCAGAAAGGGCTTCCCATGCAAGACCGGGCATCAAATATGGTTGCAGAAGTGGGATTCCTGTGGGTGCCCAACTACCTGCTCACCAAACGCTGGCGCACAAGCTCCTCCGCAGATGAGAAGTTTCTTGAGAGACTGTTGCAGGATTTCACCAGCTTCTGTGAGAATTGCGACAATCGTCTGAGTGAATTCTGGGAGAAAAGCAAGAAGGCTTGCCACTCTCCAACCCAACAATAGAATATACCAAGACAAAACTCGTTTTTTTTATATTAATGGTAACTCTTGCATGAAGTGTTCTAGGCAGAAAGTATGATACCAAAACTGATGAAACACGGACTGACTACTGAAAGAAAGTTACAAATATTCTTTATTAAATTTATAATACCAAAGACGTTTTATGTAATCATATTTGTAGACAATTGAAAGGCATGCTTTAGTTAAAACGTTCAGAATATCATCCATGATATCCAGACAGATAATCAGTATTCTTTCTTAATTTTTCTTAAATCCAGCATTTAAAATTAACTTGATAAAACAGATATTATAAAAGTGAATACAGAATGGCTTTGTGCAAATTTAAGAGTTATAGTATGATTTGCATGCATACATGTAAATACATCTGAAAATGAACAAGTGTATTTCCTTAACCTAAGCGCCCATAAAGCTACAAAATTGGTTGCAGAAGTGGGATTCCTGTTAACCCTAAGCGCCCATAAAGCTACAAAATACTACCAAGTAGTAATCGGTAGTAATATCAGTACATTTCTTTCCATACAAGTGTGAACATCACATGTAGTATTCTGTAGTATTTGGTCCTGACCCCCAAAGAGCCTTTATGGGCTTAGGGTTATATCTTTAGGCCATCTAATTCAAATTTACATCAATTCTGCTTTCTTTTGTGCAAAGAAAACTTTAATCCATCTATCACAGACTAGTGCATTAGTCAGTGTCAGCTAAGGCCAAAAAAAAAAAGCCTCCGGTTTCTGGTATGCGCGCGCGTCGCCGTAGCCATGCGCGTCCGGTTTCTGGTATGCGCACGCGTCGCCGTAGCCATGCGCATCGGCAAAATGAAAAAGGTTTTTTTTTCAATGAAAGATGATGTCTCAAAACCGCCAAACTCACTGGTTTGACTGGAATCCTGCTGCTGCACAATTTTACCTTGTTTTTATATGGGGTTATGATCGAGAATAAGCTTTATGTGGCCTCTCTGGACTCCCATATATTTGCACGAAGTTTAGTCGGGCACCATTTGCAGTCATCAGCCGACATTTGAAGCAAAAAAAGACAGGTAAAAAAAAGCCGCGTCGCCGCACCACTTTTTGGACAAGCTCCATACCAGAAACCGGAGACCTTTTTTTTGGCCTAATGATTATACATTTGCACAGAACCACTGCTGCATGACTCTTATTCTGGCCCAAGTCTTCCGCTGTAACAATATTTTTTCTAGCACGTTAGCTACACAAAAAAGCTTTATTTACTGCTTTGACAGCTCAAAAATCGTTATTGACATCTGGTGTATAGGAATGGTAGTTGGATACAATTATGTAAAATAAGAAGAAAAGAGTTGAGCCCACCACCTGTAAAAAAAAAAAGTATATATATATTGATTTGTTGTAATGCACATAATTTGTGTATAACTGTTACCAACTCCAATATACTATGTTGTTTTGATTTGGTTTTGATTTCCTCACAAATTTTACAAATACCGTTTGTTCTAATAGATATTTGATCCGCGAATCTATATCAAATTATATTATTTTTATGTGTGAACCATAAGTATGACTTACAAATAAATAGTCAACATTTAATGGGGGGGAAAAGGGTTGATGGGGCAAAAGCAGAATGAGATTCACTCATCAACTATGGATAGTTTTATCCACAAAAAAATGGGAGCTTTACAGGAATATTATCTTTATTATAACCTTTATATTGCCTTCATGTTCTTTTTCGTTATGACTTTCTCATTTCAAGTACTTGTGACCTGCCATAGCATAATGAGGAATAACCCCCACCTTTGAATGTTCACGTTATTTTACATCATGTTAAAGCGCAAATCATAGGCTTTCCATTGAGACCAAATTTATTTCTGTTGCTTAATTGATTCCAAAGATTTGAAGCAGTGACTTCAACAGTGTCCTGCCAAGTTGCGACAACCTCCTGTCGAGAAAAACGGCTTTGAAAAAAGAGACACGCATTGCGCCGCCAATGGCCGTGAAAATGTTCATTTCCCCCCCCACTTTTGTGGGTATTTTTTTCTCCAACAAAAATGCGTAGTGTGAATCTTGGGCTACTCAAAAATTCAAAACAATCAATATCGATTTGGACATGATTTTACTAGTTTATCCGACGTTGATTACTCAAAACAAGGTTTTGGGGGACATTTTTCATTTTGCCTCAGTAGGTCACATTATTAAGATACATGTAGATCTGTGTCTACCTATCATTCTTTTTTGCACATCTCATACAGTGCCAAAGATATATTAATTTGTCTATGCTTATTTTGAATCTAATATTTCTGAAGATATATGTTTCTCAACAGCTACAGTGCCAAACCAAATTGTTTTTGTTTACTCGTTGTACGTGCAATTTGGACAAAAAAAGATGAGTTTTGATATGCTTGTGCTGATAAACTGAGGTTTTGTAAATTCATTTTATCGTCATCAATTTCGCTTTTCAATTTGTACGTTTTATTTTATAAAAATAAAACATTTGTGTTTTTGCGTCTGCAACCCTCTGAAAGTGGGCCTCTTGTTTGTTGGGAAGGAGGGGGTGGGTGTTTTTTGTTTACCTAAAATGTAAATTTGTGAAATGTCAATGGCTCATCAAAACAACTTTTGCAGCGCTAGAAATAAACGATTGCAGGTCAACTCGCCCCTTACCGACTCGCCCCTTACCGACTCGCCCCCTGACTGACTCGCCCCCTGACTGACTTGCCCCTTACCGACTCGCCCCTGGCGAACTCCCCTGCTAGCCGACTCGCCCTCCGCCAACTTGCCTCCTTAGCCGACTCGCCCCCTGACCTACTCGCCCCCTGACCGACTTGCCCCCTGGAACACATTGCATGCCCGGTCGTGTCGTGAATCTCAATGGAGCCAAATTATTTAAACGCCATTTGAAATGATGTCTGATACAATAACAATAATTATTATAATAAATGGTAATGATAACCAATAATAAAAAGGTCACACATGAAAATAAAACAATCCCTTCCGCAAGAGAAGAGGGTAAATCACGTTCAAATCAGCTTTGTTATCTGAGTTTCGGGTTAGATTCTGAAAGTTGAGCCTCAGCTCCTCCTATAACATTTTAAGAACAAACAAATAACTATTTGTTTTTTTTTCAAATTATACATCCCTAATTCTTAAAATACTTTTTAGTGAAACTGAGGACCTAAAGTTGAGATTGACAAACGGTGAACGCGGTACATGCCGCACGCCCGCAGTCACCATGAACGGACCGCGAAATAGACCGGCTGCTACGCGCGACTAGTAGGTCCCGGGCACTCCGCGAATATCGGTACAGCTGTGCTAATGTGTTTCCAACCCAAATTCTTAAGATCAATAGTTTCTTGCATTTGTACCGGAAATCCTTCAAAAGTGGCGTTTGAATAATTTGGCTCCATTTGGTTTTATGCTACGATCGGGCAATGTGTTCCCGCACTGTCATTATTATTATTTTTTTTTTCAAGATATCCTTGCATTACGGGCACACTCTCGCAAAATGTGGTTGGGCAGCTTCTATACAAAAACCTTGTTGGCTCGGGGTTTTGTGCGTAAACCTTATCAGTCAGCCGATCACGTTAAATTGACCGGCCAAAACGCAAGTCCCATCATAAGGAATAAGTCAACCATGTTAATCAGTCCTTTTTTTCCAAGAGTGTGTCCCTAATGGTGTATGACGAACCGGATTAATGGACCGATCCAGTAAACCCCGCCCACTGCGCACTGGGCAAATTAACATGTGCTCCTATCCAATGCCACAATGCATTTTCCTGCCGCGCGCATCATACGCGCGTGACTTTTGTGCGAGCACGTCGGACATTAAGTCACGGCTGTGATTGGTCAGAACACCATGGGCGGTGCTTACTGGATAGGTCAATCATAGTCCACCCACACACCGTATACCTTTATTAGAAAAAAACTCCGTTTATTTCGTTGCATTCCCGATGATCATTATCGTACACCACCATACATATATCGTGAATTTCATGTCGCGGAAAAAAAAGATGTTGTAGATCTTCAATGTCTAGAAAAAAATTGCGATCATCGACAGTGTCGTGAAATAAATTATTTAGTACGATTTAGTTGTCCCTAGTTCGGGCCCAGGTGCAGCGAAACCGGGGTAACACTCCACCCCCACCCCCACCCCCTAGATTTTTCCAAGTGCCCCTCCTGCGGACATAAATGTGCCCCCCTTGAGCATAAAATGTGCCGGCCCCCTCGAGATAAAAACAAAACTGGCTCTAAAATTTCGGATAATTTGTTTTCCCAAAATGGTATAGCCTGAGAGTTCTGATATGAGCGGGGAATATGAAAATCCGAGCCCTAAAACCTCTACAATGGGCCTTGAAAATGGGCACATTATAAATTCAACCGGAAATACGTCAAGCACCAAGCATTGGAATTTTCAAGTCAGAATTTCTGTCTCTTAACATAGATGACATCATCAGGGGGCCCACTTTGTTGGGGAATGGATAGGTCGATACACAATTTGGTTGAGGACTGTGTTTACCGTGACTGTTTATTCCACAACAATATTTTAATACACATTGATTGATTGAACTGGTTACAGTGAACTGAGACAAAGAGAACTGGGTGAACTGAAATAGACTAGAATAGAAATGGAACAGAATTGGAATTGAAACAGAATTGAAACAGAATGAGATAGGCCTACTGCTAGTGGAGCAGCACTTACATACTGGTGGAAACAGGAAGTCTTGAGAATAAGAAATACTTAAGAATGGGGAAACTTAGTCATATCATGGAGGAATGTTCTTATTCCTCCATGGTCATATCGTGGTTTCCTTAAGTCTCAGAAAAATGACTAGGAATGAGTAATACAGTTCCTTAAAAATGTAACTTGGTTGTACTAAGAAGCAAATACTTGTGTGTGGGCAGTGAAGGTCATTTGCTCTGTATAAAAGTATAGGGACTACACATTGCATAGGCACTGTGTGGGTGTATGTGTATACAAGGAAAACAATGAGTAATGCATTCAAGAGAATTAATCATTAAAAAGTTCAAAAGGAACATTGACAATTAAAGTGTGATAATTAACTGAAAATTAAGACGAATTGATAATTTGAAAACGCTACAACTTCATGTAAATATCTGCTCGGTCACCATGGCGTCTGCATATTACATCCCTACTGATGAGACTATGCATG